TGGTCCGTTCTTCTTTATTGGAGTAAGACTTTCTTCCCTGGCAACTTGGTACTCTTGTTTTTACTGCCTAATCTCTCATAGACGGGCGACTTCAGATTTTTCGGCTGCGGGCCAAGTCTGTCAAACACAGAAGTACGTTTTGACTTATTTCCCAATCGGTCGAACACAGATCTCTTTCGGCTTGTGACCTCCATTTCTTCGTTCACATAGTTACAACTCGCTCTTTTGATCATTATACGAACAGGAGAGGGCGGTTGATAACCAAGACCCATCGATGAACTTTCAACATTATACCCTTTCTTTCAACATTTTCTGCGTAGGTGTCAATCCGTGAGTCTTCTCGCCAGTCACTTCAGGAGGGAGTTTGCCCAATGTATTCTTCTCATTTGGGTTATAACCCGCCTTAGCAAGAAGTCTATAGGCGTTTGGATCAAAACCTTCTTGAGTCCGATTAGTTGGTAGCGAGTAATGTTCCACTGCCGGTTCTTCTTTGGGACGGACAAACCCTTGCAAGCTCACCTTCTCAATTTTAACAGGCTCTATCTTGGTGAGCGGAACATTTAATGTGTCATTTCTGATAAAAGAAGACTGACCTTCTTCTCTCTTTGATCTTGGAGTATACCGCAAAATGGGTACTTTGGAATCTTGACTTTCTTCCCTTACCGATTCCTTTCTTTTTGCTTCTTTGTGAAGATAAAATTTGGCGTCGGCAAAGTGAGTTTCGGCTTCCGTGAAAGGTTTGTCATCGGCAGTAACTTTCTTAACAATACCGTCTCGACAATATTTGAAACATTGATGCAGAGTAGATGGTATAATTTCATTCTCGTGAATCCAGGGCCTTCCCAAGAGCATGTTATAAGAGGTTTTGGCTTCAATGATATGAAATAACGCACTTGAAGACAGCTCACCAATGAGCAATTCAAGCCTTATGAGGCCAATTGCTCTTTGCCCCCTTGGTTAAATCCTTGGATCATGAGGCGGCTCTGGGAGAGTTCATCACTTGAGATTCCTAACTCTTTCATAGCACGTACGGACATGATATTGACAGCAGATCCCCCATCAATGAGTATCCGATTCATCTTTTGTTCTCGAACATATGCACTAACAAACAAAGGTCGATTGTGGGTCTTGAACTCAACAGTTAAATCGTCATCATAAAAAATGATGGTCGTTGCACAATCCACCGGTGGTTTATCATCGACTTTGAGTTTTTTCTCAAATTCAGTGCCAATTTGTGTGACTTGAGGATTTTCAGCTTTGACGACATTACAAGAAGTGGAATTATCAGTATCGTCACTTAAATACCCCTTGGGTATAAATTCTCTCAATGTCACGGGCTGTCGAACCTCTTGAAGAAGCTGAAAATCTGACGAAATTGGTGTTGTGGCGACTCCTTTTGTTTCTTTGTTGCATTTTGTCGTTTCACTATTACTTTCCTTTGTCGAATGAATGCTTTTCGAAAAGATGTACTTCTTTTTTTGGCTTGCAAGTCCTTTTCGAGTGACTAAAGTCCATCCTTCATTATCATCTTCGACAACATTTTCAATTGACGATTTTTCAAACTCCGTTTGTACAGACAGAGCACTGCTTGATGTGGGTAGAACTTCTATCGGGCAACACACAGATCCAAACATTATTGTTGTTTGGTTTGCCGATGCTTTATCCTCCTCAAGAAGGATTTTTCCTTGCGGGCTAATTCCATAATTTTGTCCTTAAAGACAAAGCATTTAGTGAGAGGGTGACCAATCAAGCGTGATAACAGCAATAATTCGGATCATTGACTTGACCGGCTTCCTCCGGACGCTTCATTTCGGGAAGTTCAAGGAGTTTCTCTTGAAAAGGTCATCAAACATCCTTGTAAATCAGATTCAAGAAATGGGTATTCTTTTCTTGCATCTCTTTTAACGTGGGTCTTCTTACTGACCTATTTTGAGATGGATCCAACTTCTCAGTGACCTTTCGGCTCACTTTGGTAGCAATTTTCATGGGAGCTGTATTTATTGCCATGGACTCCTTATTACTGAATCTTGAAGGAGGCTTGCCCCCTTTTTATTTTCTTGTCTTTCATTGTTTTGACGAGGCTGCACTCGCGGAGCTTGAATAGGAAGCCCATCAGTTGCATTGGCCGTGATGCTTAACTCCATGTCATGAGCACGAGTAGCTAATTCTTCAAACGTGTTTGGACGTATACCCTGTAGAATGTAGCTTAGGCTCCAATGCATTCCTCGGATGCACATTTCTATGGCAGAGGGTTCAGACAGTCTGTCCTTGCAGTTGAGACTCAGACTTCTCCATCTATCAATATAGTTGACCACAGGTTCATCCTTCCATTGACGAGTGTTAGTCAACTCCAGCATACTAACGGTTCTTCTAGTGCTGTAGAAGCGATTCAAGAATTCTTGCTCCACTGCCCAACTGTCGATGGACCCCGGAGTGAGATCAGTGTACCAATCAAACGCGTTGCCCTTCAAGGATCGGACGAACTGTTTGACTAGCAGGTCACCATAGTTCCAGCGTTATTGCAGCGTTTCGACAAAATGGCCACATGTTGTTTTGGACTACCTTTCCCATCGAACTGTTGAAATTTAGGCGGTTGATATCCAGCAGGCATTGCTAGATTGTCAATTCTAGCAGTGTAAGGTTTGAGTAGGTAAACTGACTTGAACACCCCCTTTTTATCTTTGATCACGCCTTCAACAAGTTCCTTCAAGTTGTTCTACGGGGATAGTTCCCTCGGCGGTCACGTATACTTCCTTCACCTTGTCTTTACCTTTAGATGAGGATTTTCACGCTCTTGGTTCTCCTTAGAATTCATATGGCTTCCTTCAGGAGCGTGGTCCTTTTGGGTGAGCAGTTGAGCGATAAGAGCATCTTGGTCCTTGATGTGTTTCATCATTCTCCATCATCTTGGACATGTTCGAAACTTGTTCTTCAAGACTTAAAGCATTTGTCATCATAGCAGGCATTGCAGTAGAAGAAGCAGCAGAATCTTCATAGAAAATTTTGATTGAAGGTTTCATGTGAAGAGCTGATCCAGTGCTTGATGAATCATCATCATGCTAGAAAATTTGGATTCGGATCCAAATTCGAGCATGGCAAGAGCCTTCTCAATGAGGCAGGAACGTCTTGGATCCCCATCGTGGAAGAATAGCTCATTGTGATGTTGAACCGAAGACGGGAGTTGGCGCCGATGGAGCTTCCATGCTACTTTGGGTGGAGGCTCTCGTCATACTCCTTGTCATAGGACCAATAGCGCGGGTATTGGTGGCAACATGTGCAGCTTCCTGAACAGGCTTAGCATCAGTAGCCTTGGAACGTGCAATCATGATTTTGTTGCTCTTTGGTGCCATTGGTGATATACGTAGTTGAATATTCGAGGAGAAGAGATGGAAGGCAGAGATGGTCCCACCGGGCGTGCCAAAAATTTGTACGCGATAAAAATTTCAAGTCTGCAAAACGACAAGAAAAGAAATACACGACAAATATGTATATATAAATTTAGAAAAATATGTAGGTACAATCTCTGGAAGTTTCTCGAACTTATGGAGAGTTTCCTCGATTCTTCTCCTCGAACACCAATCCAAGGGCTTCGCAGCTTGTTCTTGGATCACCACCGATTCTTTCAAATCTTGATATGGAAGATTTGAAGAATTTGAAAATATTTGAAGGCTCAAGCCTTGATATGCGGAAGACTTGAGGAGCTTAGAGACCCAGACCTTCGTAGCTTGGAGCTTCAATACTTGAGTGTATGAGATGCCTCCTGGTGTGTCTCTGTCTGTGTGTGTCCTTGATTTGGTTGAGAGACCTCTATTTATAGCTGTAGCAAGGGGTAGAGGTTGAAACCTGTGTACCACTTTACTTGCAAGACGTCAGTCATTGACGTTAACTGTGCAGTTAAATATTATCTCTTCATTTTATATTTATCAATAAAGAGATAGATAATTTCCGATTGGCCAAGCCTGGGGGACAGTAAGTGCGTGGCGTCGTCTGATTGGACAGACCATTGCAGTATATAAGAGATATATATGGATCAAACGACTCTAAATATTATCTCTTTAATAAGAAATAAATATTTAAATGTCTATCCAGTAGACATATGATATGATATGATTTGGTTGGTGGAGATATCCTACAATTTGAATAAATTTGGAACACCTCACCTTGACACGTGGAAATATAATTGGCCTATTTAATAACCAAATTTTCCAAGTGTACATGACATGTGGCAATACCCGATTGGATAGAAATAAGCCACAAAATAATTTATAGACCAATGGTAATTTTAAGAATTAATTAAAATTCCATTGTCTACAGATATGTTAATAATACTTTCTTCTAATTAGCTTTTTTTTAAAAAAATTTTAAGAAGAGAAGGAATAGAATTTAAGAAGGCGGGAGAAGATAAGGTGAGTAGAACAAAATATCATAATAAATCTTGACAATTTCATTCACAACACAAAATTATTTGTGAACTTGAAAGTTTGCAAGACATATCATAATAAACCAATTATTTGCATACTTCACATATATGAACCAGTTTAAGAAACTATCCATATTCCAGACTTGTTCATTCACTATTATATATGTTCAACACTTAGTTGAAATATGCCTCTCCCATCCCTGCTTCCTAATCATACCCCTTCCTGATAGAAACAATTTTTAAAAAATAATTGAAAAATTCAGACATGTAATTAGTTATCTTCAAATTGATTGAAGATAAAATGGACTTTGACACCAGATTTCATTTATATTCAACTCCATTAGTTAGTTATATTTTGATTCTTTCTATAAAGGCTGTTAATCATTTAATGCATAAAACTCATATTTTAACTGTGAAATTTGGGCAGCCCTAGCCTAATGACTTTCGTTATTGAAATCACTATCTCTCAAGTAGACATTGCCTGATCAAAAATTCCATCTCTGGAGAAGCAAAATTGGAACTTCCGTTCAGCTTCCAGAAAATCGAAATATGAAAGAATTCCCAAAGAAACAACAGAACCTTGCCCAATGCTACTAGATTGCTACTTAAGTTACCACGCTTGACAAGAAACTGGCACTAATTTCACCAACAAGTTTGTTTACAAATTGACAAAAATCCCTACAAACATCAAATTAGAAACCAACGTAGTGCATGAGTATAGGAGAAACTGTTATATAAGGTTTACAAAAATCCCAACAAATATTCCATGTAACCCAATGTAGCCCACGACCAACTGCATGCAGGGAATTACAACACAAAATCTCTGGAGTAAGGAATCCTACTCTGCCTGCTGAGAAGGGCTCAGAAGAGAGGAATTACAACAGTACAAAGCTCTAATGTTGGTGGACAGCGCCTGCTTCCTAAAATTTCAGATGGTGTTCAAACAAGGAAGCCATTTCAATCTGCAATACAAGGAAGCAAATTCATCCTTGGTATCGGATCATGAATAGACATCATTGGAGAGGAAAATGCAGATCAGGAACATTTATTTCTAAAATATGGTACAACTCATTATTTTGTCAGACCCAGGATACAAAATGAACATCATGCCATTAACTATGCTATGACAGCAAAAACAGACCCTTCCCGCAAGAGTTTCTTACTCATAAGATGATGACCTGAAGAAGGACAATATTACGAACAACGATCAATCAGAATTTGATTTAGAAACCTACCGACAACTACATGCACTGTCATAAACTAGATACAACTCGGAACTAATAAAAGCTAGATATTTTAGAGTCCTGCCGAGAAACCACCAGCATCACAGAGAGACCCACCAATGGTCGTTATGGAGTTCAACCCCTTATTTGCCCTCTAACTCCCATTTTTAACTTGAGAAGTAATGCATTTTGGAAGATTGATACCTCACTGCTTAAGTGAGAAGCTGCTCTCGAAGCATTACTATTGGCTGTATTATACTAAATTATATTGAAAGAAGGCCAGTTACAAGGGCAAAACCCAGCAGAGATGGAGAAATTCATCAAATCACCCCTTTCCAATGGAACCAAACCAAAAAGAAAAACAGAAAAGGTTCTTCATTGATGACATTTGATTTAAACGGAACACAAACCTGATACTATTCACAAAGCAAACAATTTGCCCGACAGCAAATAAATACACTATGGAGTAAAATGACAAGAAAATAAAGAGACAAGAAGAAAAAATGAAATTGACTTACAGCTGTCAGCGCTGCTTCAGCACCTTTATTTCCAGACTTACCACCAGCTCGATTGAGAGCCTGCATTTATCATAATGTAACTTTAAGAAATGGGGTACCAATGGAAAAAATTGTAGAATACTGGTAAAGATCAGGGTGACAATTTCCATCAGTATAGACATTTTACCAAAAGTTAGCCACAGGATGATTATCATATACAGCAACATGACAATTATATGATGAACTATTTTATGATTTTCTATGCAATAACTCCTGTGAAAAAGAGTATAGGAGATCAGAAGGTCAACCATGAGTTTTCCATGAGTTTTATTAACCAAAAGAAAATTTCATGAATTTACCTGCTCCATGTCATCACAGGTCAAAACACCAAATACGCATGGAACACCTGGAATTCATTGAAAGGAAAATTAAATACTTCACCATTAAGCCACCGTAAATGTTTTCAGACTGCATTCCACGGACAGAATTGTCTGTGTTTGAAACACAAAAATGAAGTTATAGGTGTGCACACAACAAAGCAAGTTGATGATTCCCAAACACCTCAAGTACCTTTTATGAGGAATGTATCTGTAAACTCCTACACTAAACAATTTTCTCATCATCTGACATTTGAGAACATAAGACCCTCTGCTTCTGTGTCTAAGAGCACAAAATGGGAAAAACAGGTACAAGCATGATGCAGTGTACTTATTATGAGTTAAACAATTTCAAAGTGGTTCTATGTAGCAATAAACCACAAACATCCTTTAACAACAAAATTTTGGTGAGAAGTTCCCTTCCCTTTTCTAAATGCCTGATTGGTCTGCTCAGCAAACGTACAAAGTGGATCGCTGTTTTCTGACCCTCTTCTTCCCATTCGGGTTGAGTGCTTTTAACACAAAAAACCATCTGTCAACTAGGCAAAATTTTCCATCACTGCTACAACCTATGGATCAGTAGCATACACATTTACCAATCTTTTGATTCCTTTCTTAACAAACTTGTTTAACTAAGCTATTGGATATCTTGCTAATACAATCAAACCTACCGAAGCTCCCCTAACTACTATTTCCTCTAGGGCTGAATTCATGCTTTTAGTACTTCAAGTTAGTAAAAATTGGTTCTCCAGATAATATAGTGGTTTAGATAGTAGTCATTCCCAGTATATGGAATCATTAAGATCATGAAAACTTGGGCATCATTTCCATTATGAAAGGCAATAATATTATTACAGTTTGTAGTTTGACATCTATTTCTTCATTAGGTATTGAAATAAACCGTATCCTGGGCTAGTAACCTATCCTGAAATGTAGGCGGGATCTGGATAATTCTCTTTCTTGGAAACCTGACCTCTTCCTCTCTCCTCCAAACATCTCAACAAATATAAAGTAAGAGAGAAGAATAAAAGACATCATAATTTACTTGTTTTGCACAAACTCCAATTTCATATACATTAGGGAAAACAAAGTTACTTCTGATAATTATACAACTGAATCACTTTTCTTCTGCCCCAGTAAATTAACCCTTGTACTTTGTATCCCAAAAATCAGGCACAGAAGCAAATAAAATCCAGAGAGTCAATAAGTAGGGGAAAAAAAAGAAAATACTCTAGGTAAATCAGGAAAATCTATTATAGAAATTTTTTTTCTTAAACAGCATATGAGGAACAGAAATCTCGTGCTAAGCAATATACTACGACAATGCATATATAAAAAGTGAATGAGCAAATGTGAGAGATATAATACAGAAAGTTACCGCCAATAGTGGAAAAGATATGCAAATAGTATTTCATCATTTCTTATTGTGCTTGCCTGCATTAACATCGACTAACCAGAATTAAGGCCTGCAGACTGTACTCCAGATGCAGCTGAATTTGCTACAGCATCATAATGGGAAGTATCACCTCTAATCTACTGGCCCAGAAAAGAAAGTAACAGAAAAAAAAAACTCATTAACATTGATTCATGCACTGACAACTGGCAGGAAATAAGGAACTAGTAGCTGGTAATGAAGTCGAATGGTACCATAATTCAGCAATGAAAATGAATGAACAACTCAACCCATGAAACCTCATACAGATAACTGAGGATCTAAACGACCAACAAGATGTTTTAGCAGTCATTACATGTTTGTACACTTAAGAAACATAAGTATCATAGAATCACTATTTTAAAGCAGAAAAACTATCACAAAGTTACAAAAGTTGAAGAACAATTTGTTCGCCAAATTGAACATTATCATCCACCTGCTCTCATATCCAGATTCAGGTTTTCAATCTTCAAATGAGTAAGAAGAAACATAACCACCATTTCTCTCCTTTTAGAAACTATAAGCAACCTGTTATAGTCTAGCTTTGTCAAATGTTACTATTTGACTAGCCATCATCCATCAGCCAACAGCCAAAAAATATAAGTACAAGGGAAGAAATTAGGTCCACACATTATGTGCGCATGAGAGAAAGAGAGCGAGAGGGAGGGAGAGAGAGTTGAGAGAGAGAGAGAGAGAGAGCATGACCTTCTCATTATGTTTTAAGAGTCCAATATCCACTAATATCCAATTTAGAAAGCAGTAATCAGACCATACCCTAATGCATCCTCTTTCATTAGCACAATTAAAATTGTTTCTCTACTTCCAATTGAAATTTAGATTTTCAATTTTTGGAATACAGGGTTCAAATGTGGAAGAAGAATTTGATAATGATGGTTGATTTTATCAATTATGCGAAGTTAGAGCCATCACCACCATTCAAAAGGTAAGAATTTTATTACAATTAGTAAATACCAAAGAGTTCAATACTATATAATCTAGAAGTATATATCAACTCAAAAATAAATTAGAATGGCCATGACTGTTGTGAATTTTCATTGGAAGAGCATTAGTATGTGATTTTGTTAATGGCAGTAATGACTGAACTCTTCCCTATTATATTTTGCCTTAGAAAATCTATCCCACCCATTGTACCCTTTCTCTTTCTTCTGCGAGGCAGCCAATACAATCAAGAAAGGGAAGTAAACTTAAGGTAATCCTGAAGCTCGCAAGAACTGTCAAAATGCAGATTAAGGAAAACTTAGAAATCTCATCTAGCAGCAATAAGAAACCAGTCCCAAGCAGATATGCTTGAAACAAAAAACCTGAAATTAAGTAGCATTTCTGCAAAAACTCTCCGTGCCCTTCTATAATGGAAGTTACATTATTTTTGCCATTAGTTCACATCAATTTACTACTAACAAATGTTAAAGACTATATTATATCAACTATTCCACAGAGAGCTTCATTTTTAAGCATTGCAATAAGATTCCTGATACTAACTGCAGTGGCTTACATAGCTTGAAACACCCGAATCAGACAGCTCCTTCGGCCTGGGGACTCAAACAATGGCTCAGGTATTAAGGCAAAAGCATCTTAGGAGCAACAGAAAATTATTGTCTTAGGTATTCAGCAACACTCATCATAACAATGTTTTATCAAAGTTAAATTTATGCTCGTGCAATGTAAGGTGCATATTTGCCTCATTCTGGTTGTCAACTGGTTATTTAACTTCCACGAACATGTCCAGTAAAATGCTCCAAAAAACAATTCTAACTTTTAGTATTTGATCAAAAATTTCCAAGAAACAATTCATGGCTAAACCAATACTTGTCTAAGAAGGTTTGCGGTTAACCAAGCATCAAAGCATGGAAAACTTTCATTAGAGATGACTAACTTAGGTAGATGTCTGTCCTCAGATTCATCTGGACCTGAGGCGTAAAGGCAGTTATGTAGCTAATAGGGTTTTAAAAAGGCAAGGGCTGGCCCTTACTTTGAAATGGAACTGGATATTCTGAGGTAACGGAGTTGCCAAAGAACTAGTTCTGGCAGTGAGTTAGAAAGTATTTCCAAAGAGTTAAATGGAGAACAATTCAAAAAAGGGCAGAGCCGTATAAAAGAGGTTTGACACAAAGAGGCAGGGATGAACCTGATTCATAAGACTAGAAATTACTAATAAGACAAAATGATATAACATCTGATAGCCATCTTTAGGGGAATTAAAAAATTAGAACACCTGAAAGCCATCTTTAGGGTTTTGGCATGGCATTTTATCTCAGTTGAGGTAAGGTTAAAGCACCGAGTAGGGCATTAGCCCCACAAATTTTGAAATTTCAATGTTAATACATAGAAACTATGAATAATTTGCTATAAAAAAGAATTACTAAGTGCTTTAAATTTAAAAAATAGCACAGAGAATTATAGCTGATGGATAAATAAAACATACACTACAAAGTGAATTACTACTAAATAGGTGTCAAAAACACAATTCCTCCATCAAATCATTATCTATAGGACATCCAAAACTAAAAGGACAACTTTCTACTTTCACTTTATAAACTACTTATTTAATTATTTCCACACGTGGAAAAACATACAAGGTTGACCAAGAAGACAAAAATATAATGTTGATAGTAACATTATCTCAAGCCTTAAATCACACTACATGCATATTTATACTAATAAGTACAATTCTTTTTTTTTGGTAATTAAAAAGAAAAAAATGTTCATATGTAAATCACAAAAGGAATGGAGTGAAAAATGATGGTCCAGTAAAAATACCAGGGATTGAGAGATCGGAATGTGCAACAAAAAGAGACCAAGTGAATTTCTAAGTTTATAATTGCAAATGGTCCCACATTACAGAAGCAAATAATGGTGTGAACATATGCACTATGAACTACAAACTTCTGACTGTGAAGTACTCCTAATAAATATGCATTACAGCACACACACATCAAAACTTTGGGGCACAAAAGCCATGGCTTATCACCTAAGGCATATACCCCAATTGTCTGGGCAAACACCCTTCAATACCCAAGCCCCACCTGGTTGTTCCAAGGCATTTTCGTTGTGAGGCATGTTTCGGTAACATTGGTAGCTAATTCTTTATGCCATTTTTGCTCTATCTTTCACTCATCAAGCTTATTTTTTTTCTTTTTCCTCATTTTCTGTATTGTAGAACTCCTTGATATATGGTATACCATAGGCAAAGTAGTAGAAGATTACAGCGTCATTCATCATGTGCACATACTGTTTTCTAGTATGTCTCCCTGTGCACCAGACTAGAAACTTTTAATCCTTTATCTACAGTAGATGGATTCATTGAAGAGTTTTTGGCATTTGAATTACATCTCTCTCAACATATATTAATAGGTTCAGCTAAAAATCAAGATAGTACCCCATAAATGGTCCAATAGATCAGTCCAACATTAAGCAATGATTCGTCCCCAAACAGAAAGACAGAAAAACATAGCATAAACTCTTGCAAATGTGCGCATTTGTGGGAGGTTTAATCTTCATATGCTGAAGACCACACTTTCCAATCTAACAGCTTAACAAGTTTCAAATTCATGAACAACCCGGGAAAACTAATATCCATAAGGATTCCAGCATTCACAGCAAGTGAAGACAAGCAAAATCTAAATGAGCATAATCTTTTACTGACAGTGAGAGCTCCGTGCATCATATGGAACACTCGACTGGTTCACAGATATGAACAGGTTGATTTAAACATCAAGGATGTCCTTACATGAATAACTAATAATGTCACAGTTGATCTATGATATGGAGTAACAATTATAGGGGCTGTTAAAGTTGAGAATACTGGATTCTAGCCAGTGTCAGTTACAATTAAGCTACAAATACAAGAGTGAAACAGTAGCAATCATACTTTGTTTTGTGAAAGAGAATACCATTTAATAGCCTGATGCAATTTATAAGTGAACCAAAGAATGCTAAAAAGGATTCACCATAACTATAGCTTCAATTGAATGGGAAAAGAGTATAAGTAGGACATAAACAACTAAATGAGGGAATCAAATCTACTCACCAAGAATTATCAAACAGGAAATAGTTGATGAGTGCTTACCACAGCTCCAATACATAAGATGGCTTGATACTTTCTTGACTTTCCAAGTTTCTCTGCAACCAGACCAATTTCAAAACTACCTGGAACCCACACAACCTGATGCAAAACAATCATAACGATTCTTATGTAACCCATTAAGAGATCTTAAAAGTGCATATTTGACTGACGTGCATTTGGCCAATTTATTTTCTTGCATATTTAACAAACCCCAATTGTAAACTGCGTTACTTCCAATACATGAACCGTTTCTTAACTTCATTAAAACACACCCCCAAGATAACATGTTTAATGTTGTTTGATGTCATATTGAACCCAAACATAATTTAATCATCTTGAAAAAATGAGCCAATATGTGAACTACATCCCAGAAAGATACCAAGAAAAATGTGCTAGTACTTCTAGTAATAGGAAGAAAGAAATCGTGTCAAAAAAAATGTTGATACATTTGCAAGAAAGAAAACCAGCATAATAAGGTATCATTGTCAGTTTATTTAAAACAGGTCACCACCAAAATTCTAGGATAAGCATTATAATGTAAAACAAGAATGATTTGAGTCAGGAAACGACAAGGCAAACTGGCTTGACAGTAAATTTCATAAAGAAAAAAATACCAAGATATGCACCGAATGAGTATGTATGCTATAACATTGAAGTGATACATGAAAAGTCCATTTAAATCAAGGGAAGCAAGTTCCAAAATGTAGAAGTCAAACTGTACGATGAAGTCACAACTAATGAGGGTGCAAGAAAAAAGGCAAGAAAACAAATACTAGCTCAAAATTACTTACATCGATATCTTCTTCTTTGACCGAGTACTTTTTGAAAGTGTCCAAAGCTCCCTCCAACAGTGGCTTTGTGACAATTTCATTGAAGCGAGCCACCACCTTTACACACAAAAGAATACAATCCAAAATAAAGAATAATCAAAAAATGCTTCACAGCTCAAAAGAAAAATCACATGGAAGTCAAAACAATGCCTTAGGTCATTTCTCTTTGACAAACTCCAGTTGGATACTATACAAAAGGAATCATCTATATTTTACGCGCTGGCATTCTACTAAATCTATTGCATCATTTATAGCACACCTAGTTTACAATGTGCCAACAGTCATCAACAACTCCTTTAAGTCCCAATATTACACTTGCGAATAAATAGCCAAAAACCCTAATCGAAATAAGACAAGAAACCAACTTAATGAAATAACGCTACTTCTAAGAAAGTATGCATCAGAACAAATTAAATAGCTAAAATTAAAAAATCTATAGCATGACTGAAAAAACAGAATTCACACAAGATATTTCAGTCACTCATAAGCTATATATCTCTTGTCATTATTTTTCTACTTCTTTTGTACTCAAATAACTTTCATTTTCCAGAAAATCCTTTCTCTGAGCATTTTATTCACATTGTTGAAAAGCCAGTTAAGAACTTTTTTAACCAAAAAAAAAATATCAATTGCTTCCAAAGTTGGCCCAGGAAAAAGGAAAGCACATTTCCTTACAACAAAAAAAATTCAGATAAATCATTCAATTTGACGAATGTGGAGCTCATCTGTCAATACCCACCAAAAGTGAGACCTTTCTTTTGCTTATTGAATTCAAGATCCCAAAACAAAATACCGATACTGTAATATTAATTGTTAAGCCAACAACTGGACAGAGGAATTTAATTGACATACTAAAACATCTTAAACAAAATTGGAATATAAAATTAAAAATGCATCGATGAGGGAAAAGGAAAATTGTAATGACACTGACAATGCCAAAGTGGAGACCCTCAGCAGTTGTAAGTGACCCAGTCAACTGTCGAACAGCTGCAAGACTTCCCAGCCGGCCCTTCTCGTCCTCCTTCCTCTTCCACAAAATCCCAAATCCAGATTCTGTAAATTAAGTCCAAAACATAAGTATTGCATCCGACTTAATCGACAAAGAAAAAAAGAAAGCTAAATCAAATCAAGTCGACCTTTTGGTGGTTGAAGTTGGACAGACAATGATGTAGATGATGATTGCTGGCGTCTGAGCGGAACAGAGATGATGGGCTGATGATTATGCTTGAAGATGCCACGGGGACGATGACGAACTAAGCGGTTATTAGCAATTGAAGAAGAAGAAGCAGCAGCAGCAGCCGCCATTTTCGTTTTGATTTTGATCCTTGTTTTGCACTTCTTTTCTGTTGAGTGTGTTCTTTCTTGGGTCGCTAACGTATCCTTATTCCTCAGAACCCAACTACAAGTAGTAGTTAATTTCATGGTTTGATTTTGGGATTTATCCTAATATCAACTAGCATCCTAAAAGTTTTAAAAATCTCACTTACATCCCCTATTAGTATTATATGACCAGAAGTCCTAATTAACAGCGTTGAAATGACATTAATGTTACCCCCAATGTTTTCCTTTTAAGTAGCAAATGGCTGGAAAAAAGAAAAAAATTCCTACATGCTAAGATATCTAAAAACAAAATAACAAGAATGCCATCGAAAATATTTTTATCCCTCTTTGTTGCAAAAATTTTTACTTTTAATTTTCGTCTATGCTACAAACGATCTTCTAAAATTTCCTCCCTACTGCAACCAATCTCATGAAATTTTAGTCTTTTTTTTTTATAATATTGAAGTAGCTTAAAATGCTATCCTTGTACACAAAGGTGTTCTCTGACTATGAAGCAATAAAATTTATTACTTATTGCACTTATACCTTCTCATATTCTGAGCTTAGTGTTCCACCTTATTTGTCTTTTTTTTATATTTCAAAATTCATAAATCAAATTGCACAAGGATAAAAGTAGAAAGATAATATAATCTCTCTCCTTCAATGCGTTTTTTAATGTTACTTTTACACATAAGGGGTGACAATGTTACCCAAATTGTTATTTGAGAAAACTATGTGAGATTTCTAAAACATTAGGGGTGCTGGATGATATTATTAGGATAAATGTTAGGGAAAGTTTTTGAAATTAACCCTTTTACAAATATATAATCATATTGGAGAAGCTTCCAATCCAATAAAAATGCTTCTCACACTTTGCTCAAAGCAAAATAGTTAAATAAAATAAAATAATTAGTAAAGAAGAGCCTCTAATTGACCAATCTTTTTATTCAACCAACTACTCCTAGATTAGTTTGCCACCAAGGAGAGAGTTAAAACTCTCTTTGGGTATAGACCTGCAATTTTATCCAGGATTTTCTGAAAATTTTACCAGCAGGTACATAGGCACTTGTCTAATCCGGTGGCTGTTCAGTCCCCTTCGGATTCCCATTTGACCCCCTCGGATCCACCCCTTCCTCTAATGTAGAGTAGGAGTAGGTGTAAAGTAGAATTTATGATATCTGGAAAAAAAAAACCAATCAGTTGATCCGATTGAAGTAATGATGGAATGGCTATTCAGTTCGAGTTAACTAAAATAACCGGACAGCAATTCACTAGACCAAAAAAAAGTATGGTTGGGCAATAACTCAAAAAAATTAATCTTCTTGTGCTGTTTTGTGTACGTTTTTGTCATTCTTTCTATTTTTAATATTATTTAATAATTGTTTATTAATATATGTATGGCATCATCTGATTTAAACACTATTAGTTAAACTTAAAACTTTTAACTTTCAAAATATAGAGGAATAATTCATTGTTGATGTACCCAGTGGAATTAGGGATCCCACCAAGAAAAATAACAAGGAAAACTCCATCTTCCCTGTCTGGTTTGGAAAAAATTACTAGAATGCCCTAACTTGTAAAATTAATTAAAAAGAATCAATTATAAACTTTCAAAAAAAGTTTAAAAACTCTAACTAAGCAATAATTGTGACCTGACATCCACAGATTTGACTATCCCAACCCAATATATATTGGCATCCACAAAGTGTAGGCAGACAGAATTTGCTACTTTACCGTATAATTTAAAAGCAAAAAAAAAAGCCAAATATAGTTTAAAAAAAAGAATGTATTCTGGAAAAAACTAAATACAATTATAAAATTTAGAAAATTAGATAAGAAAAACAAAAAATCTAGAGGTGGCAAAATGGGCGGGATTTGCTTGGGTTTGAGATGGAACCGAGTCATATGGGTTTGGGTCCAACCTTACCCATATGTGTTTTGGGACTAACTTGGGCGGGATCACATTGGAATGGGTTTAGATTGATCCTGCCCAATACCAAAATCTATTTTCTACATATTTTTTTCCTTTAATTCATTTTTATTTTTTAAATGACTTTAATATTTTTTTTATTAAATTTCTTTTAGTCTTATTGTGAATTTATATTTTCATGAATTCATTTTACACTCTATAATGATTTGCACTATAAAACGATCAACAATTACTTCAAAAAGACGTAACATTTTGATAAGAATGAATATATCTTCTCCCTAGACAAAACCAAAAGAAAAGTTAAGAGGGTTTAGAATGAATATTTTAATCTTTTCTACTTTTTATAGCCCAAATGACAAAAGAAAAAGGAAAAGGTGAGAGGGCTTAGAGACCACTTCATCAAAGGCCGAGCTCATTGGGTGTTAACTATTGAAGTTTGCTTAAAATTTTTGGATTTTAAAATTTTTTGGGAAGATATTTGGGTCCAATGGGTACCCAAGTATTTCTCAATATTTCCCATCAATTAATGGGTACAATTGGGATATGTCCCATTTTAAACCTAATATCAAATTACAATACCCATTTCGCCCAAAATCCCTTTGAGCATGGATAGTCCATTGGGATTTGGGACAAATTGCCACCTCTACAAAAATCAAACAATGACGTTGATCTTAACTTACGATTTCGTTGGGAGTTGAAACTTTGAGTCCAAAAGTTGTTTCCCCTTCTTGTTCACTTTGTAATGCATAGTAGAGATTGTTAAAAAATTTTCAAATCCCTCATGGCTACCTCGATACTCTGTCTCCCTTCTTTGCATAAATATTAAATGTACCAAATAATGATCTTTATTTGGTGCCTCTAGGGCTATGGGTTGTAAAGAAAAATTGTGTTTTGGATTATGAAAAGATGGAACATGTATATAGAATTAGGATTAATCTTATACACAATGACTGACAGTATGTATACTTTCACTCTTAAATGTATGTTATTTAATTCCAATTTGAATTCAAATATCATTTTTTGTATACGTGATATGTATCTAAAAATGATATTGTGTACATTGTTAGTATATACAAGATGAACTTATAAAATTAATGTTTCAATGCCAAGAAATGTTCACAACATGACTGGTGAAATGTTTTCCCTTGTAGTTGTGCTCCTAAAGATGAGAAGAGGAGAACCATTTGTGCAAGATGCACTCGATGCTGAAGTCATTGAGCAAGATTTGGGGATCACTTACAACAGAAGACTTTGGATATACTTTGCCAATGGTGTTAATAGTTTTGTATTGACAAACATGGATCTTTTCTTAGTCAGGAAATTATTATTTGCACTCCCGATGTTTGTTTTGTCATATAATTTAATAAATAAAAACTATATTATTAAAATAATAGTAGGAGTGTAAATAACAAAAATAGAAGTGCAAATAACATTTCCCTTTTAGTCAGATCATTTTTGGTTTTCAATTACAAAAAACATCTTTGTCGACAGTGAAGATCAAATTAAATTAATTTATTTAGCCAAGATAAAAAAATATATTGTCTTGATTAAGTTTAATTAAATGAATTTTGGGGCAAGTCCGCTAAACCTTGCAATCAAATTGGGCCAACGCCACATGGTCTTCAAAATGAAACTGCAAGGTGCATTTTTAAGTGAAAATGAGTTCGTTATTGAAATTAATTTGCAATGAATTACTCTGTTCCACCTATCATCAAAGTTTAAGTTAAATAGATTTCTTGAGTTACAAGTTATTTGAATTATAAGACGGTTTTACAAGATTTTTTTCCCTAAAAATCTAAGCCTAGCTATTTTGGTTATAAGTATGGGTCTCCCCTTCAAGTCAAACGGCATCCCAAGTCCTCAATTTTTTAAAATACTCGATCAAATTCTCTTAAGAATTCTCTCAAGTCAAAAAATCAAATCTACTAATAAGCCTTTGGTCACTGGATTATATTTCGAAAAAATGATGTTAAATCCAATGACAAGTCTGCGGCCCTTGGATTCAAGTTCGAGTGTCCTTTTGAGGACATCCAATTCAAAGTTCACGTCAAATCAAATATGGTGCTTGTAGCAAAATTTGAAGATTGGATATTCAAGTGTGGCCCTTAGATTCAAGTTCAAATTAAAATCAAGTATGTGCTCGTAATAGAGTTTGAAAATTAGAGATCCAGTAAACATCATCAAGTCACCGTTGTCCATCCCTAAATTGTAGAAAACATTGATTTGATCAGAGAACGAGCCTCTTTGGCCTTTCAATTAAAGTTCTTTGAAGACAAGAATCAAAGGACTTTTTGCGTTGATTTAAGAAATTTACAAAAATTATAATCTCTCTATTCTTTGATTAATTAAATTAATTATTTGCACAAGTTTTCTTATCTTTTGTTCTTAGGCAACGAAACTTGCATCACAATTGTTATTATCCTTTTAGGTTTAATAGGATTAGTTATTGACTTATTGTGAACCTACAATTATACTGTAAAGTGGAAGTAAAAAAAAAAGGGCAAAACCTTTTTTTGCGGAGATTTAGTATTACAAAAATTTAAAAGTGATTGTTAGGTTAGTCCTTATTTGAAAACCCAAAGTATAAATTGAGAATGGTATTTTTCCAATAGGAGAGACAAAGAACATTTGGCCACAGATTTATAGATAAATTAGCCCGCATAACTTCATATTAGAACCAGCTGTTGTGGATACATCCAAGTATCCAATATTGTCAATTTCAATATCTCAGTACCTTAGCTTTGTTTCTAGTATCCTAACCCCCCCCCCCCCCAAACAAAAAAACACACACACACACACAAAATAAAGAAGATAGAAAATTAGATGATAAAATGTACTCCCTCTGTTCCATTTTGATAGTTCTTTAGTTTTTTTTTCACACAATTTAAGAAAAAGTAGTTAACTTTGTTGGAAAAATAAATTTAAATTGTTATTTTTCTAAAATACCCTTACATTAAATAAAGTTAGCTTTTCATATATTAATATGTTTTGAAAAATCTAAATGCATTAAATGGGATAGATTATATTCAATACTAACAATCTAAATATTAAATGAGGGTGACTTGCTAGTTCAATGGAAAACTTGCTACTGAGCGTAGTCGGTATTGGTAAATTGTTGGGCTGTGGGTCTACGACTCAAAGAAGCAGCCCCTCGCAGTCATTTGAGTACTGTTAAAGAGTAATAATTTTTTAATGTTTCTAAATTGATTAAGGTAATCAATCCTACTGGCGATGGTATCG